TTGCTAGCCACTTCTTGTTCTACCTCAAGTCTGGTGTTGAAATTTTTTCTTTCTATTTCCCATTTTTCCTTTTCAATATTGGATTCTTCCATCTTTTGGCCTCTGACTTCAAGTTCAGCAATCAACTGGTTCATTTCAGATTCAAATCCCTTGAACATGCTATTTTTCTCATCTTCAAACTTATTAAAGATGTTATTCTTCATCTCTTCTAACTCTTTGGCTCGATCTCTTTCTCTTTGCATTTCATTCATGATCTCGCGATGCTCAGCCTTGTGTTTTATAATTCGCTCTCTTCTGTCGACTTCAAAATCTTCCATTTTTTGCTTTCCTTTTTCCAGGCTTTTGAGTAGACGGCTATTCTTTCCTTTCAGATCTTCAACTCGTCTTTTCTCGATGTTCAACTCTTTATTCATCTGTATTGTTGCTTGGCTTGATCCTGATGCTTTTCGGGATTTATATAATTCCTGGTAATTTTTCTGTAAGGCTCTGTACTCATCCTCACCTTTTTCTTTATCTTTTCTCAACATTGCACATTGTGATGAATGAAAGTCAATGTCAACCCCCAACATAGCTTTATCTTGTCTCATTTGCTCTAATTCTTTTGACCAGTCTTCTCTTTCTGTTTCAAACTCAGCTCTCAGGATTTCAATCTCTGATGGAACCACCTTGATGCGATCATCCATAGAAATATCCTCATTTTGATCTGGTAGAGGAATATTTTCATTTTTCCTGACAGATCTCCATTCTTCATAATCAGGAGTTAACATTTCTTTTGCTGCTTTAGCTCGGATGCAAAAAGTTGTTTTCCAAGCTGTAACGACTTCCATGATGTTTCTTTTATAATTTTTGCTGTGGAATGCAAACTCAGATGACTGTAGTCCAGCAGTGACAGGTACAAATTGACGACCTTCATACTGTCTTATAACCAGAAGTGGTGCATATCCAATTCCTCCCCATAATCCGAGCAACATTATCCAGTTGTAATCACCACACCTGTAAAAGAATTCCCTTTGTATTTGCCACGGGGCTCGCCAAACAACGTCATTGCTTTGCAGATTTCGAAAGGCATTAATCCACATATCTTTCTTAATTTCTTTCGGCCATTCCTGCTCCAGAAATTCCTTTAATGGTGAATAATCCGTATTAAAGCGTCGGTATGAAATCTTTTCTGTTCTCCAGAAATGACTACGGATCCAAACATATAACAACTGAGTACACCCTGAGAATCGTCCACCTCCTAGCCTTCTGCAAGCATTTAACGATCTGAAGGTTTCTGCTAGGATTGCAGAAACAGGATTAATCTTCTTCGGTAGCTGTTCAAACAAGTCTACCACTGCAGCTTCAACATATCCCAATACTTTTGGGAAGATGACCATACCATATATACCCAGAGCAAATAGATCGAATCGTACTTTAATATCTGGATGGCTCTGAATAAGTTCTCTGATGTTGGTCCAAGCAATGCCTTCGCTTTCGCCTTTTTGTTTTGTACGGGATGCTACCCATTCTTCTCGTACCCCGGCAATCTTTGCTAATTTAACTCGAAAGGGTTGAATTTTAATTAACTTTGAATAGATTCGATTCTCCAAAGTCCCATCTATATGTAGCAAAGTTGTGTATTCTTCAATAGTAGGGACCAAATCTTCTTTATTGAGAGTGAAGCAATTGTACCCCGGATTCCAGAATTGAACTAGGGCTCTGAGTAATTCATCATCAACTTCAATATAGAGCAAATATGGGATGTCTCCGTAAGTTTGATAAAACTGCAATTTTTTGTTTGAATCCCAACTTTCCCAAATGCTTCGCAAATCTTGCATATCATTTCTTTTTAGTGAAACTGAAGCATAATTGGCCAAGTCAGATACATAATCATCCTGCAGACTGTCTCCTTCTTGTCTTTGTAAATCTTCAGCCCACTGTCTTACTTCTGAGTTTAGAATTACTTGACTTGAACACTTTTTATCCATAGATGAAGGCTTTCCAATGAGACAATTAACACAAGGATCAATGTCTTTTATCCTGTATGATGCAATGCAAACAGAAAAATAAAGAACACACAAAAAGAAAATAAATTAGTTTACATAATAAAGAAATTTAATAATAACATTTACATAAATATTCTTTATTTAAACATGCTTTTCTGAATTTAAATAATTTAAATAAACATGTGATTTAAACAATGAATAAATTAACAGAAAAGACAGAATTCATTTCTCCTGTGTGTACACCTATTTTGGATAAAATTTCGGCATGACTTCGGATCAGAAGAGTTTCTAAGGTTTTTTATATGCAGGGTTTCAGATCTAGGAGTAAAGGTACTCGAATTGTCCATGTTAGTGCCCCCTTAGGCTGCTAACCCTCAATCCTAGTCCATTACAGACTAAAGTGGATCGAGTTCAATTTGAGGGGATACATTTCTCTATGCCTGACACGGAGAATAAATTCTCACAAAGACATAGAGCATATGAACCCCGAAAGTTACTTGCTAGGTCTGACACGGAGAATAAATTCTCACGAAGACGTCGCTTTCACTCCCACTTAAAAGGGACAACTCAATTATAGAGCTTTATGTGATGCAATGCAAGTGTTGTGTGTGAGGAGAAATGTTCAAACCTATGACAAAATAAATAATGAAATAAAATACTTACAAATAAAATAAAACATGTAAATATTATGAAAATAATAAATAAAAAATTTGAAAAGAGAGAATTAAAAATTAAATATATAAATTTTAATTTTTAATTAATAGAGACAATTTATAATTGATTTTTAAAAGTTTGACCAGTCCCCAGCGGAGTCGCCAAGCTGTCGTAACCGATTTTCGTCCGGGCACGAAATATTAAATATGGCGGGAAAAGTGATGTGAATAAATGGTTTTTAAAATAATTTGGGAGTCGCCATCGGCCTTTTGGGTCAGGTAGGTCGAATACCTAAAAAATATCTTTTAAAAGAGTTTTAAGAAAACATCAATTTAAAAAAATTAAACTGATCTGCGTTTATAACCAAAAATTCGTTCTTTTTAATAATAAAAAGGGGTTCGTGGTCGGTTACGTTTAGGGAAGGATTAGCACCCCTACAACGCCCAAAATTGGTACTTTTTAATTATAAATTGTCTCTATTATTAAAATTTAAAAATTCAAAAATATATTTAATTTATAATCCTATTATTTCCAAAATTATATTTATTTAAAAATATCCGAAAAGAACTTCTAGGTGCCTTAAGACAGCTCTTTTCTTTGATATTGATAAATATTAATTTAAATAATATTGTTTACTTTTTAATTTTAAAATATCAGAATAGGACATCCAGTTGTATTAAGACTGTCCTTTTCTTCGATATTAAGATAAATATTTAAAAATTACTATTTATTATATATATATTTATGAATATATAAAAATATTTATTCATATAATAAAATAAAAATAAAAATACTATTAAAACAATATATTTAAAAACAATAAAATAAAAGAAAACATATAAAATAAATGACTAAATTACAGTAAAAATAAAATTAAAAGTCTAATTCATAATTAATCAAAATTATAGGGATCAAATATGTTATTTTCTGATTTAATAATTTAGTGACCAAAATAAAATTATCTAAAATTCGGATTTTATAATAAAATAAATTAAAAATATAAACTAGGGATTAAAAAATTATTTGTTAAAATTAAAGGATTAATTCTGTTATTTATCCTAAATATATTATTTTAATAAAAAGGACTAAAATAAATAAAATTAAAATTTCGAGATCAAATTAAAAGTATTATAAACTCGATTTAGTGACTAAAATGTAAAATTTATAAGTTGGGAGGACTACGGACGGGGTTTAACTATTTCGTAATTACGCGCATAGTCCTTCCCGAAACGACGTCGTTCGGGAAGGACTATAAGAGTCCAAACCGGCTGGCCCGATGGGCCAGCCATTTCATTTCTTTTCTTCCTTCTCTCTCTCTTCTCTGAGAGAGAGAAATTTCTCTCGCTTCTCTCTAACACAGAGAGAAGCCCAGCCGGCCGGCAGCCGTTAGCCGGCGTTCATCCGCCGTCAACCACCGCCGCCGGCCACCGTCTTCGGTGGCCGGAAAAAAATTTTCTTTTATCTAAACGTAGATCGGACCGTCCTAATGACGGTTCCGATGTTTTTTTTCGTTAAACGGCTCCCAATCGGAGCAATTCTAAAATAATACCTTCGGCTTTTCGAAGGTTTTGGTGAGATCCGGCGACGGTTGTGGTTCTCCGTTGACAGGGTAAGCTTCTTTCCTCTCTTTTTTTTTTTTTTTTTTTCTTTGCTGCGTTGATGTTGACTGAGATCGTTGGTATAGTTTATTTTTTTTCTTTCTCTGTTTTTTTTTCTCTGTCTCTGTCTCTAGTTTCTGTCCCTTTTTTTTTCTTTTTTTTCGCAGATGGGTGGTGGCTTTTATAGCCACCACCGGTGTTCGTCTCAGACCGGTCCGAAAGAAGGGCTCTCGGTGAGTCACCGGACTACCAGTGGTGACTCACCGAGTAGCCATGGCGTGGACGGTTGGTATATTATCTTCTGGAGTCTTCGGTTTGGACGTGGCAGCGGCGGAGGCGGCGAGAAAGTGTCGGCAGCCGCGTGGAAATTGGGGCGGCGCCGCGTGGCCCTAGGGTATCAAACCCTAGGGTTTCCCTCTGGCACCATCTGGACCGTTGGATCTTGTTAGATCCAACGGCTGTGAGCTGAGGGGGCTGGTCAAATTAGGGTTAGGAAACCCTAACTGGAAACCCAAATATTTAGGGTTTCTGGTTGGATTTGGACCGATTCTGGTTGGTTTGTAACTGGGCCGGTTCAATTGTAATTGGTCTGTAATTTATATGTATTTAATATATTTAATAATAATATAATAATGATAAATAATATAATAATAATAATAATAATAGTAATATATAATAATAATAAATAATAATAGTAAAAATAATAATAATAATAATAATAATAAAAATAATAATAATAATAATAATAATAATAATAATAATATTAATAATAATAATATGGATAAAAAAATAGATCCAAATTTTACGAAGTGCAAAATTTAGAGTAATGCCAAGAATGTTTATCAAATATTTATTACAAAAAAGGGAGACTATCTCATATTACAACATAGAGGCCTTGTCTGCTTTTGCAACTTGTCCCACATGCACATCATCTGTCTTGGAGACTGGTAATGAGCTGTATAATAATCTTCTATGCACCCGAATTGGCAGAACTTCAAACTGTGTACATAATCCACCTCTTTTGTGCTGTTGAATTTCTCCACCCACATCCCCATACTCACATCTTCCATCTTGAACAACTGCACATTTTTCATTTTTTTTCAATAAATCCCAATGCAACCGAAAGAACACAGACAAGAATATGTATATGTTCGTTCATTTAATTTTAGCCGAACAAAAGCCAACACAAACAACTGAACTAACATAATTTCTTGGTCATGTTCGCAGAATGCAGTATGTTCGTGTTCATTCATTAAAATAGTAAAACGGATATAAACAAACGCAAATAAACATAAACCAAAACTACAGTAACCACATAAATATAAGCTGCAACTTCATAGTTAACATAAACAAACAAATTATTGAACATTTACAAACATAAATGAACGAACGAACCCTTTGTTAGTATTCGTTCATGTCCGTTTAATTAAACAAACATAAAATCTTGTTTATGTTCTTTCGTTTAATAAATAAACGAACATAAACAAACTTCTTGCCAAATGATGCACAGAGGGTTCAGTTCGTTTACAGCCTTATATCCCAACACCAGGGTCTTGGAAAAATGGGAGAGGCCATTGTAACTTACTCTTAAATTGTGCTTTTCAAATTCAGAGACGATGAAGTGAGCAATGTCGGATGACAATATGTAGCCTGGCCCGTTAGCATACGGCGGATAAGCATCCTCTGCCCACTCCTGAATAAAGAAAGGGGTTAGATGTTAGAACCTGGAGCCGATAACAAAACCATATTATATGCATATCAAAATGCTCTACTTCGTCGTCATTATTACGGATATGATTTGAAAGTGAGCAAAAATCTTTGATGCAAGCAGCATTGCGATCAATATAGGTTGATCTTTCCATAAGCCAAACCATCAATGATTCATACTATATTATGCTTCAACTCAAGAACCGAAATAAACCATAGCAGGAAACTATGCATACCTCATATGTTACTGCCCATTTACCAGAGCGTAAGGGCTTGTGGTAATAGTTGATGTTTCCAATATACAAACTGCGATCATTATGTGCTCTCTTTGCTTCATTAAGAACTGCCTCTACTCTCACGAATGTGTCATCATCGCACTTCATTATATACTTGGCAGCGGCTACACGAGCCTGTTTCGAGCAAACCTTTTAAATAGTCTCAAGAAAGTTTTGAACATTCATTTCTTCGAACTTGGAAACAATTTTACTCACCCCATATTCACAGATTGCAACAGTTTTTAACACGACAAGGTCGTAGTTGTCCATATATGGCACAATGACGATATCTCCAAAAAATTCTGCTTCTCTCTTCAGTTCTACGTTCACTTCCTTTCTTGTATTCTATCCAAACATATAGAGGTGATGGTAAAAAACAGAACTTAGGGTGTGAAAATATAGAACCTTAAGTCTAGGATAGTCTTAACTTACCATCGCCACAAAGAAACGAGCAACTACACTTGAAGATTTAACAAACTTGTGCTGCATCCAAGACTTCCTCACAGCCATTCGCTCAGCGAAATGATTGCCTGCTGAAAGTACACCAATAAACAGATCCGCAGGTCGCTCAGGAAGTGGTGGAGCCTTCCATCTATTGGACATCTCAGGATGCTTTTGAGGAGAAAAACTAGGATGTGATGTAGGCAAAGATGCCGCAAATATAGAGTGGACATCAATGTCTCCATTCAATGTTAGTCCAGTAGCATCCTCAAGAGTATACCCCTATCAACAAGATCATATCATATAAGAAAAGAAGCAAGACAAGATAATAATATTAAGTTTACTTCATGTAACTTACAGTCCGGTAAGGAAAAGAAGTAATAAGCCTCCCATCAACATTAACATGGTATCCCTCCAAACCAGCACCAAGAGTCAAGACAAAAAGCTTGCCCTCGGTGAATGGGAAAGGCCAGTCAACATTCACCTTCTTTGTTCGACCTGTTAACCTTTCCAACCACCATGTTGCATTAGATTCCTTAGAACGATAGTTATCATCCCGTATCCACTTCTCACACTTGACCTGACCATCAACTGCAGAGTAGACAATTTTGTGGGCACATGAGAATCGGGGATGAAAATAAAGAAGATCGTCACAAACAATTCAAAACAGCGTATTGGTATTGTGCAGCATTTCAAATAGAAGAAAAGCAAGGACTGCAAGGGAAGAGGAAGAAAAGAGAGGGAGACGCATGCTATGGGAGTTTACCAAATGAGAGAAAAAAAACTTCCTGATCACTTATTATGTCTCTTTTATAGTCAAAAGACAGCTCTAGAACAATATGATTTAACTACAAAGCAAATCTAATAGTTTAAAAGTTTTCTGGGCAACCAATATCTCCTATCTGCCTCCAAATTACACATATCAGTAACCAATATTTTGATGAAACCCAAAGTAAAATTGCAACCCATAAAATCTAAAAAGGAGATTTTGAAGAAGCAAGTCACAGCAACAGCAGGCAGCATTTTCCTTGCTGTTGACAAAACACAATATACTAACTATAAAATCACAAGTCACACACGAAAGTTGATCACAATATCACCAGAAAACAAGTCACGGTCCATTAAACGACGAAGGAAGAACATCCAAAACACAAAAACAAAATGGCAGGAAATTGCATTTACAAATCAGCCTAGCAGCTCTTTGTTACCATGATTCTTTATTTTCCTTGAAGTACTCGTATATAGGAACTGTTTCAGATATATATTTTGATAAGAGTTCGGAGTTATGATCCTACAAATATGTGGATGAACTTACAAAAAAAATAGATTATACCAATACTTTTTTTCCGTGGAATGCAGATGAATGAATTCACCAAGAATAAAAATTTGTATTCTGAAACATACTAATCCTAGAGTCTAGACTTAACAAACCTACATCAAACACAAACATATCTGACAGGACTTAATCCCAAACAAAAATATTCCAGCTACTAATAAGATGGTACGAGAAAAAATCAATTAGGAACACACTTATGTCCAGGGACGGAACCAAGATCAAACTGTCACCGGACAAACTTATAAAATTTAGGATATTAGGAGCGACTTATAAAAGTTCAGAGGCTAAAATAGACTATCAATAAAAAATATAAAGAAAATATCTATAAAATATATGAGAATCTGGAATTTTAAGGACGACTGCCCCACCTGGTCCCCTTCTGTCCATCACTACTGATGTCCTATATAGAAGAAGTAAAAGGTTAACTGCAAACTATCAACAAATTACTTCAAATTACAGGCTGAAACTAGACCCGCAACTTTGTATGCCGTGGGGTACTTGGATTGAATTTATCTGCTTCTTTGTATATAATGCATACATTTTATCCAAAAAAAAAATACAAATTACTTTAAATGTTCTAATGCAAATCCAAAAAAAAAAACTCTTGATTTAGTATGTTGCATATAAGAGCATAATAATCCAGTAAGCTAATCACATCTTTTTCATAAATTCAATTAAAAAAAGAAGCACCAAACTCACCAGTCTCATCCTCAGCCTTGGACTTCCAACCTTCACAACGCAACGCAGTTCCCCACTGCATCCTATAACAAGTGTTCTGCTCGATCACAGGCTTCCTACTCCAATCCCCTTTTAACCTCGGATTAAAATGAAGAATCCGCGGCGGCTCCTCCCCATCCACCGTCTTCAGGCCCTGCAACTCCATCATAAACTGCGAAACCATAACGGAATCTTCCCCATCCTTCAGCAACGCTATCCTCGAATTTGTCTCCGCATGTGCCGCTCTCGGTTTCCCCACCACCGTTATGTGGGACCCCAAAGTAAGTCCGCAGGGAAGCACCATGACCTTCCCCTGGGCCAAAAACTCCGATTCCGATAAAGAAACCGAAGGTCTACAGAGCTCAGATTCGTTCTTGAGTTTTTTGGGCTTGATTACCGAGTCGATTCTAACTTCCCCTGATTCGAGTTCTTCCCAGAGCTTTCTCCCAACTTCCCAAGCAACCTTTGCTGATTTATGGAGCTCCAACGACCCGTCTTTCGCACCCGGGTCAAAGGATTTAGCATCGAAAGACAAATTAGAAACGATCCTAGACCGACTACTCAGATGAGTTGGGGATGGCGCGTTTTTGGAAACCCAGTTCAAGGGACGAGTCGGCGCGTCTTGTTCTTGAACATCGAACTCAGCTGCGAGTCTGGAAAGCCGTGTTAATTGTTCTTGAGACAAATTACTGAACCCAGTTCGAAACACGAATGGGATCTCGACAGAAACCAAAACTAAGTAGAGGAAACCGACGATGAACAGAATCTGAACGGATCGTTGTTTTGCTAAGGAAAAGGAGTCGAACCTACCTATCTTCGATAATTTTGATTTCTTCATTTTTAATCCCCTCCCCCCAACAAAAATGAATGAAAGAACGAAGAGATCAAAAAGATAGACAGAGGAACGAAACGCGTAAAGTAGGAGCCTAAGACATAGAAGATGTCATAATGAACAAGTAATTTATTTATTTATTTAATTTGAAGGAAGACATGCTACACCATGGATGGATTTTACTTGGGAATTTTGAATTGTAATCGAAGAAAAAGACATGGGAAAAGAGATTCTTCGTTGGAAAGGCCGCCATGTTTCAGCTTTAAATTTCCGGCTCTCAAGTATGAGGTGTCCATCAACTGGTTCACTGTAGCAGACAGGTGTTCAATGTTCCCTTTGAATATTATTTATAAACAATCTTCTACTATTTTTTTTTTGAGTAAAATTGTATGGAAACTGGACTTGGATAAATGTTTTTTTTAGTTAGCCGCTTTAATCATCAATTTCGTCATTTCCTATTTTAACAGCTAATGTTAAATAACATAAAGTTTAAAGCGTCAATCGATTATATGATGTTATTTTATTGAGTTTCGATTATTAAAAGTTATAAAATAATATTTTTATAAAATTTTATTTTGTTAAATTCAGCAACTATTAAAAATTACAAAATGATTTTTCAACTATAGAATTTGTTTTGTTAAGTTCTTCGACTAATAAAAGTTATTAAATTATCTTTTGATTATTTATATATTCTAAATTCGACATTTTCTACTAAAAAATTAACGATATTATGAGTTGGACGTTAATCTGTTGATTGTGATATGATAAAATATGATCCCAAAATCTTAAACGACTATTATATCTCATTTAATAGATTAAAATTTAACTCAGATTATCATCAAATTTTAACTAAAAATGATGAGTTTGAAACATATAAATAGTGAGATGATCATTTTATAACTTTTTAATAATTGAGCGACTCGACAAAGCAAAAACGCTATAATTGAGGAGCCATTTTATAACTTTTAATAATGGAGACTCAACAAAAGAAAATCATTTATCTACTTTATCCTAAAAAATATATTTGGATTAAAAGTTATATTTTTGGAAAACTTGAAATTTTGTTGATTTTATAAGCAAACCCGAAAAATTATTGTTGTTATCTAAAAGTAATAAACATTTTTAGGAAAATGTAATATTATTGTCAATCCAAAAAGTATACAAATGTCATAATAAGCACATAGAAGATATAGAAAAAGTACTAAGCTCCATCAACAAACACTAAAGAGAAGGTAAATCCTAGAGGGGCACAAGTCCAAAATATAGTAGTGATGAGCAAATATGTGCGCAACATCATTATCGGAGCGATGAACATGTAAGAATGAACAATGAAAGAAGGAACGCATCAGCTTAAGAATCTTGGCCACGAGGGACCTCAATTGAATAATGGGTAAAGTACATAAATGGTTCTATGACTAGGTATTCTTTTTAGTCTTTCAATTATTAAAAGTTATAAAGTGACCCCTCAACTATAGGGTGTTATTTCATTGAGTCTTTCGACTATTAAAAATTACAAAATTATCACGTGACTATTCATATGTTTCAAACTTGTCATTTTTCGTTAAAAAATTTGTGGAGTTGGATGTTAACCTACTGAGTGGATATAATAAAATCTAATCTCAAAATCTCAAACGACTTTCATATCATAATCAAGATGTAACACCCACAGACCGATGTGGGTGGCCCGATCCGATCCGAGATGTCACATTAGGGCCACCGGAGCGACCCAAAGTAAAAATCCCAGAAAATTTTAAAATTTCTTTTAAAACGTTTAAAATCATAAAACAAATTATAATTAAAATACAAGTTCAGAAAACCGTTCATATACTACAAACAAAATTAAAACCATACATGTTTCAGACTCGGATATAAAAACATAATACAACCTATATTCCCCCTAATCACATGCACCGTACTCCGCGAGAACGCCAGTGAAACTCCAATACCGATGTCGATAGATGCATTGGATCAATTCTTTTAACCTGAAATAGTGAGTAAAGAGTGAGGTTTGGGAAGCTCAGTAATACAGAACTACCAAGTGATGTTGAAGGACATGTATATAATAGGTAAACAAAATTTTCCTTATTGATTCAAACATCTACAGATTTTTGTGATGAGATGAGATCCCACTGATATTTCAGGTAGTAAAAGACATGAAGCTCACAGTTCAGAGGGAGCATTCAGAGGACTAGGTTTAGGAGATAAAAAAGGGGTGTCTAGTGTGTTCCCACAAAACCAGTGAAAATGTACAGATCTTTTTAAAGCAGTAATAGTTTAAAACTTATTTTTAAAATTGTAGTAAAACCCTCAAACTAAACACCAATATGCAGTTCCCTATAACTGCATCCATAAGAACTTAGCCTAGGCCCATTGGGCATAGGTGTCAATCTAACGGAACACCTTGGGTTCATAAGGTCTTACCCTAGCCGAAGCGTAGGTGCCCACTTGAGGGGAGTGCCCTTAGGTCCATAAGGACTTACCCAAAGCACATAGTAGAGGTGCCACCCTAAGGGAGTTCCTTACTGTAACATCCCTAACCCGTATCTGACTCGGATTCGAGTCTGAGGTGTCACATTAACTTTTCAAAACATCTATATTGAAGATATAGTTAAAATTTTAAACATACATATGAATAAATATGATAAAACCTTTAATCAAAAATAGAAAAAACATCATTCAACTTATTTTGAAAATTAAAAACTCAATAATTCACATAAATATAATATTGTATGTTTACAAAAGTGATCATAGCATATGTAATTCACACCTTTATCTACATGGTAACACATTTATTACAACAAAATATATACTTTGTAAATTACTTCTGATATGATCTTATGGTAGAGGTATGTTGTCTTTACTGATCTTAGCTTTGTTCTTCCTGCTTCTTTTAACCTACGTGTAACACATTTAGTGCGTTTTCATTTTTCCCTACCACTACCTTCCGTTAGTTTTTGCTGACGTGACAGTTTGCTGAGGTGGTAGTTAATTCTTCTTCTTCTTCACACACACATTGCCCAACCACTGCATTGAAGAAGGTACATGAACCTATTATGTTCATCCTTCTCCACTAGGTTCATAATAGGTTCACAAGCAAACCCAATATTGCTACAAAGAAATCTAACTCTGGATCGGTAAGAGGTTCGTCCTTCTCTTCCCCTTTCTATCTCTCTCTTTGTTCTTCTTCTTTAATCCTTTGTTTCTGCATTATCCTGTTGTTTTCGTCTCAAGATACAAAAATAAAGAAAACCCAGTTGTTTTTAATACAAGCCACAACTGCAGTAGCAGCATCAATGGCTGAGGTTTGTATCAAAAATATCTGATTTCTTATATATTTGGTAAGGTCATTATCGTTTATTGACAGTCTATCCCTTCATGAGCTACATTAATATTTAGGAATCTCTTGGAGCCATTCGGACAGTCAGGTCATTTGCTTAAAAAGATTTTGCGATATCAAACTACTCTGAAAAGTTGATAAGACAATGAAGCTTGGACTAAAACAAGCTGTGATTTTGAGAATGCTAACGCTTGCTCTCTCTCACTCTCTTATATATATTCCTGTGACACATATATGGTCGGAAGCTAAACATTGCATAATTTCTACTTGAAGTATATGCAATAATCTCGCTCCTGCTCGCTGGTTTGAATTTCTAGTTTTGGTGAGAATATGGAGAATCATTGAATGAGTTTCAGGGGAATGTGAAGTGGGGTTTTGAGGAGTCTTGAAAGATATCAAGGAAGATTTGTATCTTTTTTGCCTTTAAAGGGACAAAATAAAGTGGGGGAATCTCCTATAAATGTTTAGTAACAATTTGACCAAAATATTTCCTGTTGAAGAAGAAAAAAAGAAGACCATAATATTTTCTGTTGAAGAAGAAGAAGGGTTAACTGCCAAGTTAGTAGAAAATAAAGTTAACGGAGGGCAGCAAAAACTAACGAAAGGTAACGACAGGGATAAAAAAGAAAACGAACTAATAGTTTAATGACTATATTGTAAGTTTAAAAAATTAGGTGACCAAAATACAAGCATCCTAAAAGTTCATAGACTATTTACATACTTTACCCTAAAAATAAATGAAGAGAGATACTGACGTGATAATTTGTCATATCAATAATTTTTATACTAAAATAGAAATAATATTTATTATAAATAATTTACAAACAATTTATTTACATAAAATGAAAATTTTAACGTTTGAAGGAAGACTCGAACCCAATCTTAGGAATGGGAAAAGATTTCATTCAAACCACCAAGCAAAACTATTTTCCTTAATTATTTAACAAATTAAGAGAGACTTTAACTTATAATAATTTTGAAATTAATGAAAGCATCACTTTCTCTTGGTTATTTTGAGAATAGTGGGTCTTTTCTTTCACCTCCATCTTTTAATTAGATCTGAGAATCTCGATACCAGCAATACCTGGAAAAAAAATCGAAATTTTGTTAAGGATAAATTACATCATTTTTTTTATTAAATTGTATTCTCTCTCATTGTCACACCCCAATTTAGGGATATTTTTTTTAATAATTTTAAGTATCGAATTAAGGTTATAACAAGGAAGAAATTGAGGACCAAATTGTAAAATTTTCAAAGTTACAGTTTTGTTTCAAAGCATGTGGGAAGTTCAAGGACTTATCCTTGAATTTTCCCAATTTCATTTGGTAAATTAAAACCTGGTTAACCCCAAAAAATCCCCAAAATTCAAACCAGTATAATCCCTAACCCTAACTACACCCCACCGATCATTACCTCAATTCGTCGTCGTCTAGTTGTCATTCGATGCACTGTCACCCCCGTTCGAACTTCTGTACTGCCCCGACCAAAGCCTAAGCATCGTCGCACCGTGAAACGCCTTATATCATCGTGAATTGACCATTTTTCATGCGACGAAAATCCCAAAATTTCATCGTTGCTTTCGTCAAATTCTGACCGACCTAGTCGGCGTTGTCGTTCACTGCTATTTCCATAAGCTTTAACGGTGACGTGCGAACAAAACCTAACCAGTTTCGTTCATCGTTGACGCGCCGTTGCTGATTCGATTGTGGGTAAGTTTCGGGTTTATAGTTTAGTTAAGTTTCTTTTCGTTTTGGTTAATTTTTGAATTGACTTGTCTTGTTGATGGTGTATAGATGCTTCGGGATGAAACGACTGACCAACCAGACCTCTGTCGCCGCCACGCTCCGGCAGTGCACGCGGGCTTACTCTGCCTACCCTGGAAATGTTCTAGAATCGGTCCAGCCTGTCTGGAATGGTCCGAATTGGCCC